GACATCAGCAATGATATCCCTTGTTCCACGGCCTCTTCTGAATCCGGCTTGAACCTCTGGATATTGGAGCTTACAAAACTCAGTAACTGCCCAACTTTAACAGCCTACCATTCATCACCTGAGTCTCCCTGCAGGCCCAGTGCAAATTACTGCTTCATTATCTGATGGTGGGCTATTGGCAAAAGAATTCCCATCCCTGACTTTCTTCTTCTCTCTCCAGCAGGCTTCTGGGCTGTCTCTCCTTGGCCAGATGGCTTGTGTGCAGTAGTTTCAATCAAATATAATATTCAATCAAATATAATTGGGATCATAAATCAGGAAAAAACCCCACAGCAACAGTACAACCCATAAACATCTGATGGTGTTATAATCTCTTTTCTAGTTGTTAAGATCTTTGGCAAGTTTTTGTTGACAGCAGCAGGGATAGCACACAGGCTCTGGGTCAGTTGTCAAGGCTGACCACTAGGTGGCTGCTGTCTGCAAGAGGTGATATTCTTGCTCAATCAATTAATGATGCCTGCACGGGTCTAGGGATGTAAGTGAGATTGAGGTCCCTGCATGATGGAAATGGTGTGCTCTCAGCTGGTGTAGTGGCTTACGAGCTGAGCTGCTGTCAGCAGTTTGAGCCCACCAGCCACATTCTCTGGGAGAAAGCTGAGGCTGTCTGCCCCCATAAAGATTGACAGCCTCAGACCCCTAGGGAGCAGCTCCCCTTTGTCCTATTGTGTTGCCATGAGTCTGAATAGCCTCAATGGCAGTGGATTTGGGGATTAACCTAGGGGTGGTCTGACAAATTGGCTTCTGTAATGAGAGAACCCCATGGAGCACAGTTCTGCTCTGTAACAGATGGGACCGCCATGAGTCAGAATCAACTCAATGGAAACAGGCTTGGTTTTGTGGCTTGACTTTAAAGCCCAAGCCCTCATTCTTGAAACTTGTATGATTGCCCTCTGTCAGGCTTCATTTGCTGTAACTTCTTTCCTTCTCTGACCGACCTCTATAATCTGCCTGTCAGGACCTGTATGCATGAAACTGACCAACGTCACCTCTTTATCCTTCCAAGTTCAACCATGATGCTTTCTCTGATTCTCTCACTGTTAGTTGCCATCAAGTTTGCTTTATGTACTGTATGTATAGCAGAGTGAGACAATGCTCAGTCCTGTGCCATATTCACTATTGTTGGTATGTTTGAGCTCTTTGTGTGGCCACGTTACCAATCCACCTCACTGAGGGTGTTCTCACTTTTGTTGGCCCTCTGACTTACCAGACATATGTATCTGTCTGTCAATCTGCAGAGAGGCTGAGCCTCCAGCTTCCAAGCAGCTATAAGCCTGAAAGGAATGAGATATATACACACAATGGTATCAACCATTCTATGGGTGCCAGCCACAGCAGACACACACACAGTGTTGACAAACTGTAGACCATCATTACTATTTATAGAAAGCATACAGCAAACAAGGGCAATAGATTCTCAAAGGGGAAGCACATGCCCATCCCCAGATTACCTGTGGCCATTCTGACGTCGCTGTGGAGGCACTCCCTGGTTCAGGTCACATACTACGTCCGCATCTCCAGTGCCTCCAGCTTCCACCATGCTGCTCAATCCTGCAGGACTTCTGGGGACCTTACTTGGCCACTGTACCTCACTGGCCTCTGCTGCAGGATCCTGCTATGCTACCCAGACCTGTGGGGCTCTCTTGCTGCCATGCTACCCAGGCCAAAGCATGCACAGGCCTGTCTTGCTCTGTACAAACACTCTGTTAGCTCCATTGTCAAACCCATCCTACCCTGATGAAGGAATATCCCACACAGGAGCCTCCAAGGCCACTCCATAAAAGGCACGTTCAGGCCTCTGCCCTGCACACAATGCCAGTGAACCTCCCGCCCAAAGGTGCTCAAATGGAGCTTTTGCTCCGTGGGCCAGTAGGCTGCCTTGCTCTGAGGTCCGACACTGGCTCCTGCCATCTTCAGTGCTATAATTCTTTCTTCTGAGTCTAGGAGGTTCTCAGCACAGGAATCTCAGGTCCTTGGTCCAAATGGTATGCTCCACTATAGAGTCTTATTGATGGTAGTGAGGTTCCCAGAACTGTGGTGGGGTTGGCCCTTTTGTAAGCCTTTGTTGTTCTTATTAAGTGCTGCTGAGTTGGTTCAGACTCATAGTGACCCTGTACAGGGTTTCCAAGAAGTGGTTGATGGGCTTGAACTGCTGACCTCCGGTAAGCAGTCCAATGCTTATCCTACAGTGCCATACACGGACTCATTTGTAAGCCTTGTTTTTGTTTTCAGGTGCCATCAAGTCAGTTCCAACTTATAAAGCCCCTGTGCACAACAGATCGACCCTATTGCCGAGTCCTGCACCATACTCACAATTGTTGTTATGCTTCAGTCCATGGCTGCTGCCACTGTGTCAATCCATCTCATTGAGGGACTTCCTCTTTTTTGCCAACCCTCCAATTTACCTAGCATAAGCATAGTGGTTACTAATAAGCCTGCTAACCTCAGGGTCAGCAGTTCGAAACGACCAGCTGTTCCTCGGGAGAAAGATGAGGCATTCTGCTCCTGTAAAGATTTACAGCCTCGGAAACCCTGTACAGGGTCGCTATGAGTCAGAACTGACTCCACGGCACATAACAACAATGTCCTTCTCCAGGGACTTTGTTGTTGTTAAGTGCCGTCGAGTCGGCTCTAACTCATAGCTACCCTGTGTAGGGTTTCCAAGGAGCGGCTAGTGAGTTTGGGCTGCCAACCTTGTGGTTCAACCCAACCTTGTGGTCCAGTGTTGACCCTACAGTGCCACACCAGGACTGGCCCCCACTAATAATATATCTGAAGTATGAGAGATGAACTCTGGCCTTCCTGGCTTCTACATTCTGACTTTACTTCTTCCAAGACAGATTTGTTCTTCTGGAAGTCCATGATATTTTCAATATTCTTCTCCAACACCAGAACTTGTAAGGCTATTCCTTGTCAATTTCAAGGCCTAACCCTCCCGCCAGGACTACCAGGAACTAATTCCCTCAGTAGGCCACAGTTACTCAGTTTGCATAGTAATTAACCAATCCTTTGTAAGATGCTGACCCAGCCTATCATTTTGTGGGAGTTACAAGACCAAGATTAGAAAGGTCATGTAAAGGCAATCTCCGGAACCCAATCAAACATGACATTCTGTTCTAGCGTTTGGTGTTTCCTTATGATGTGTCCAGTATAAGCAAGTTGGAGTCTCACTATCCTTGCATTTAGTAAACATCTGGTTGTATTTCTTTTAAGACTGAGTTTTTCATTCTTTTGGCAGCCTATGGTATATTCAATATTCTTCACCAACAACACAGCTTGAACACATTGATTCTTTTTCTTTCTTCTTTTTTTATTATCCAACTTTCACACGCATGTGCTGTTGTTGTTGTTCCTAAGAGCCATTGAGTCGGTTCTAATTTATAATGACCTTGAGGTTGAAACCGACCTTGCAGTCAACTACTTATCCTACTTGTCCACTCCAGGACTCCATGCATATGAGGGGATTGAAAATACCAAGACTTATGTCACACACACCTTTGTCTTCAAAGTAACATGTTTGCTCTTTGATATTCTAAAGAGATCTGTTGAGTAGATTTGCCCAGTGCAGTATGTTGTTTGATTTCTTGACTGTTGCTTCCATGGGCATTGTTTGAGGATCCAAGTGGAATTAAATTATCGACAACTTCATTGAAACCCTTGACTCTGTTGTCGTTGTTAAGTGCCACTGAGTTGACTCCTACTCATAGTGACCTTATTATAAAAGAACAAAGCATTGCTTGGACCTATGCTATCCTCACCATCATTGCTATGTTGATACACGGTGTTAATTTATCTCATTGAGAATCTCCCTCTTTTTTTGCTGATCTTCCATCTTACCAAGCAAGATGTCCTTCTCTAGTAATTGGCTGTCCTGATGACATGTTCAAAGTAAGCGAAACAAAGTCTTTTCATCTTCATTTTTAAATGACATTCTGGATATACTTCTTCCAAGACAGATTTGTTCGTTCTTCTGGTTATCCACGGTATCTTACATTTTCTCTGGGGTGTATGGAAGTTAGAGAGTCCCTCCTCTGGTCCCATGCTGTTGCTGAGGGCTGTTGAGTCAATTCTAACACATAGAAACCTATGTGACAGAGGAGAACTGCCCTGTAGGGTTTTCTTGGCTGTACTCTCTATAGAAGCAGATGGCCAGGCCTTTTTCCTGTGAAGCTACTGGATGAGTTCAAACTGCCAACCTTTTGATTAGCAACCAACAGCTTAACCATTATGCCACCAGAACTCCTTCAGATATCCTCTAGTTCTTAGCTTTTAGCTGTATCCTACCACTTAGCCTATTCCACAATTGGTTCCCTATATGTCTTTTTCCACTCCCACCCTGAGAGGTCCTCAAAGTCAAGATCTGGGTATTCCCATCCCTAGACTAGAACCTGGGACAGAGTCTCTCCTCACACACTCTGTACTGAACACAATTGTACTGCGTTCTACAGTGAGATCGAAATGATTTTTATGAACTTTCCCAACAGCCTGAGCTCCGTGTGTCAACACACCTCCAGCTTAATTGCCTGTCATTTACTGGAGTCATAACGTGACCACACATTCCCCTGAGACCACTTGGCATTTTCTTAACTGCGATGGCCTTTTCCCTTCTCTCTCTCTTTGCTCACAGCCTGAAGACAAGCAGAAAGCAGCATCTGCCTTTGCCCAGCTCCGGGGCGCCATGGAGACACTGGGCATCTTGGAGAGTGAGCAGCGAGCCATTTGGCGGGTTCTGGCAGCCATTTACCACTTGGGCGCTGCGGGGGCCTGCAAAGGTATGTCCTTCCTGCCGGGTTCACGTGGGCTGCCAGCTGTCTCCTTTGGCAGGTGCCCGACAGGCTTTCTTTCTATGGAACACAGTGTGCATGTGTAATTATGGGGGGATCAGGTCGATCTGTCATTTTTTGTGTCTCTGGGATTACTCTTTTGGAGGTCACTGGACCAGACTTGGCAAGAAGGAAACTGCTGGATTCAAACATTCTAGACCAGCATTGTTCAGTAGAACATTCTGCAGCGATGGGCATGTTCTTTATACATGCAAATCAGTATGGGGACCACCAGCCCCCAAGTAGTGACTAAGCACTTGACTAAGCCAGTGTGCCTAAAGAATTAGTGAAAATGTCTACATTCAAAGGCGCACCGATTCAATCATTTCTACATGTACATTTCAGCGACATTGATTACATTCTTCAGGTTGTGCTGCGGTCTCTCTACCCTTTTCACAATCATTTCATTTCTATTAATTTTAATTCACTGTCCCCTAAGTTGCCATCCAACCTTGTGAGTGGCTGTTGCTGATTGGATCTCACACAGATCATTCTTTAAAAGAGCACAAGGTGCAAAGCAGCACACCTGACTAATTAAGATAAGCATGTTGTCAGGAGAGACCAGTCCCTGGAGAAGGAAATCATGTTTTCTAAAGTGCAGGGTCAGTGAAAAAGAGGAAGACCCCCAATGAAATGGATTGGCACAGTGGCAGCATCAATGGGCTCAAGCTTAACAACAGTGTTTCATTCAATACTAGATGGTTATTGGAAAATCAAAGCGTATAAATGTCTACCCAAAGGCAAGGGGGCTGGGGTATATATGTTTCTCCTGGACTGAGGGCCTGTCTTGGGGGCATTGTTGCCCACACTTTTAGACTTGTTGGATCTTTGAGAGTGTCAATCTTTATGGGAGCAGACTGCCTCATCTTTCTCTTTTGGAGCAGCTAGTGTGTTTGAACCACCCACCTTGTGGTTAGTAGCCCAATGCTTAACTCACTGTACCATCAGGGCTCCTTCAATCCTCAAGTAGAGGCAGCTCTAATAGTGAGCGTAGATATACCTGGGTGGCATGAGGCCCAGCTGAAAGGTCGGTGGTTCAAACCCACACAGAGGCACTTTGTTGAAAGGCCTGGAGATCTGAAAAGGTCACAACTTTGAAAACCTTCAAGGGGCAGTTCTGCTTTGCAACACATGAAGTTTCACTGGTTTGGTTTTAACAGTTAGCGTTGTATCCTAGTGAGGTGACTTCCCCAAGATCACACAGACAGCTCATAGCTGATACTCAACTTAAACATGCTCCCTGAAGGCATACTGCAAAATCCACCACTAAACCTACTGCCATCTGCCGGGGACCCGCCTCGACATAGGGGTTCGGTTCACGAGGAGGGGATACCTGACGGCGATTACAATATATCAAGAATACACAGAAAGAGACAAACAGAGAGACAATGAGGCACCCCAAAGCCAGGGTGGATACATCACTGGTGGGCAGGCTTGGGAGTACAGGCATCATGGCCTCTGCAGGCAGCAACTCACTGCCCTGCCATCTTTACTGCATGCCTTCCAACCCGTAATGCACCGCAATCTTTACTCCATGCCTCCCAACCAGTAATGCACACCTGGGGAGGCCCGGGCCTCTGTTTTATTTAGGGGAGGAGCTTCATACCAAGCTGGGAGGGACTTAGGCAAGGTACAGCTAACATCAGTACTTTTCCAGACATTCAGGTAACTTTACATCGTACTTCGCTGGTTCGAATCCCAGGCCAGCAACTTGGATTCTCAGGCCCAATTAACATATCTATAGCTCCTGAGCTTAGGTGGGGGAAGGTGAGAGTAATGACAAAAGCTTGGGCGGAGTCCTGCTGCTTTTGCTTCCTGAGCCAGGTTTTCAGGAGGACTCGAGATGCCCAGGTGAATGGGCTGCACCTGGAAAAGGATTAGGGAGGATGGGTTCTTTGTCTATAGAACAAAGAACCGAGAAGTAGCTAAGATATTTTTAGTTAATCCTTTTGAAGAAAGGCTTGACCTTGCAACTTTTAGTCTTAGGCTTTAGGAAAATATCACATTTATCTGTGGATTATCAAAGGCTCCGTGTATTAATTTAATATATAAAACTGAATATTAAGATGAAAGCAATTTGCCATTAACTGCCAATGGCCTCATTTGTTACACTCGGCCCTAGAGGGCCTCGAACCTCTGACCAGTCTTACACGGTCCGCAACAGCCATCAAGTCTATCCTGACTCATAGTGACCCTGTAAATCGTTACAGGAGAAGACAGCCGCATCTTTCTCCCAAGGAGCAGCTGGTGGAATGAACATCTGATCTTCTAGTTAGCAACCCAACTCCTAACCCACAATGCCACCAGGGCTCTTTCTGTGAAGCCCAGGAAGGGAGCAAGTCTAGAAGGCACATGGGACCTGCCTTCTGACTTTCATGCTCACACTTGAACTTTCTCTGCCCCTGGCCCATTGACTTAACATCAGAAGGGATGGAACTGGTTTAACTCTAGACTTTCTTCTCTTGTAGCAGGCAGATGCAATGTGGGGTGCAGGGACATGTCCCATCCCTCTAATCATCTGTAACAATAAAAGAGAAGTCCCGTTTATAAATATTTCATTAATATGTGATTATGGCAATAATTTCTTGCAGACCTCCCCCTGACCCCTAGTTTATAAATTATTTTAAAAGTAGCTGCTTTCAGTCTGGCTGGGAGACCAGCCCGGATGATTTACTTACAATATATTCTACTTTGGAAGATTTCATAATAGGTTACTCTAAAATCAGCTATTAAGAATTTCAAAGTCATATATAAATGTCTTTGCTTTGTGTCATAACAGATCATTTTGAAACATATTAAGAATCATTTCCATTAATGAAGTTTTTTGTTTGTTTGTTTTTTTGTCATTAACATGGTATTCTCCTCCCAGTGCATGTCTGGCTTCCTTTGCTTATTTTGAGAGACTCAATCCTCTTTTTAAAAACTCCGATATCAGTCCTTCTGGGATGTCTGAGGTCTTATAACCTGACTCAGTTTATAGCAGTACCCAAAGTCCTGGTGTGGTGCTGTGGGTTAATGCGCTGGACTGCAAGGTTGGTATGAACCTCAAGGTTGGTGGTTTAAGCTCACCAGCTACTCCTCTGAAACCCTATGCACGGTTGCTATGAGTCTGAACAGACTCAACGGTACTTAACAACAATAACATAGTAGTACCCATCAGCACCACAAATACTGGTGAAGTGTTTGACTGTTTCCTATGCGCTTATAAGAGGGGGCTTCAAAAGTTCATAAACAAACAAACAAAAAGGAATCAAAAGATAATATGATTTTCCTAAGTGTATTTTGAAATCCCGTTGTACCTTGATCAGGTCTTTTGATCTGATTGGACTCGTATATAACTCAGAGAGGAAGAAAAGTCCTGTGGACAAGAACCCAGCCCCATGAACCAACCAGCTGGGTGCAGATCCTAGCCTCTCAGAACCTCAGTTTCCTCCTCTGTAAAATGGGATGAAACAAAGCCAGTTCTTTGACTTGTTGTGAGGATAAAATGAGTTCTTGGCCCCAAAGTGTATGGAACATGGCCTGACCTCCATGGAGGGCTCCCTAAACATTATCTCCCATCAATATTCATGTCACAGATAAGGAAATGGAGGCTTGGTGAAGGTTTGTGATTGGCTCAGTCAGTAAGCTCCCAAGAGGGGTATGGAACCTGGGCCTGTCTCCTGCAAATATTGCCTGGCTGCCCCAGGGTTTGCCACAGACAATTAAGGTCACTTTAAGGTCATCTGACTCCTGTCTTGGGGTCCTTTAAAAAGGTTCAGGGTTTACAAGCATGACAGTGTCACTGCAACTGGTAAGAACTATCCCGATGCCCAGTTTACAGAGGGGGAGACGGAAGTCCAGCTGCAAGGACTGTGTCCTCTCCTCCGTAGGCCTCCTTAAGGGATGTGGAGTTCTGAACAACCACAGCAAGGCCTGAGCTGCCTTAGCTGGATTAAATCATCCCTGTGTAGTGTCGTGGGACAGGGCAGGAGATGGGATCAGGGACAGTGCCGACTACACACCCAGATGGGGGCCTCTTTTCCAGTGTTGCTCTCTTTCCCCACTGTGGGAACTCTTATGTCTTGTCTTCTTGGAACGTTGTTCCCCATTTTAAGTTTTAATCAGATGGAGACTGGTGGAACCCCTGAGACTGTGACCCTTAGTCACCCTTTAGGTCTGGAACTGAACTCACTCCCCTGGCCCAACTCTCAACCAAAAAATATTCAGATCTATAAGATGAACAATAATACTAGGGAGGTACGCACACCTTAGAATAATCAACCATTTGACATAAAAAAGGCAGCACTGACCTTAGGGATAAGTTCAGAAGGGTTAGGAAAGGAGGAGAAACAGCAACAGGAGACAGGGAGGCAGTGGGATGAGTGATGTTACATTGTGGGCTATCAGCGCCAGGAAACTAAAGGCATATGAATGGAAAACTGATGAGCCAATCTGCAAACCTTCACCCAAACCACAACAAAGTGTTAAAAATAAATTAAAGAACCCCAGCCACTCACTAACCCTGAGGTCCCCCTCTAAGGACTGGGCTTTCCTGGGGAAACATATAGAGCTAAGGAGAACCATGTTCTGTTGTGCTCCACAAGGTTTTTACTGGTTGTTTTTGGCAGGTAGATTGCCAGGTGTTTCTACTCAAGCCCTATTTAAAGACTGTAGTGGTTACAAGTCAGGCTGCTAACCTCAAGGTAGCAATTCAAAACTACCAGCTATTCTGCAAGAGAAAGATGAGGCTTTTTGCTCCCGTAAAGATGTACAGCCTCGGGATCCCTATGCATGGTTGCTATGTGTTGGAACTGACTCCATGGCACCACACCACCACTATGCATAGATGAGGGGGGGGAGTTCTCCCAGAATGCTGGGGGTCCAGGCCTTAGGACACCATATAGGCACAGTGCATTCGCAGAACTGTGAGTTGGCTTCTCTTGGGAAGCTGACAATGTTGAGTTCAC